CTGAACCGCAAACTGTGGGCGAGACGGCAACGCAGTGACCTAACCCGGCCCGTGAACCCACCGGGGCGAGTGCCCCAGCCCCTGCGCACACCCGGGCGGCCAGCAGCTGCCCGCCCCAGCTCAGTGACAGCAGCACCCCTGTACGTGACCGAGCAAATGCTGGGCTGTGCCCAGCTGAGGGAATATCCAGCATCCCAAAGTCTCTTTGAATCCAAGTGCTCATCAGGCTGAGGAGCCCTTGCTGGCTGCTTCCTCTATGCAGGCCTGCAGAAGCAGCTGCACAGACAAAGGATTTAAACACATAGACTGGAGCATCCTTCTTCTTACTAACAAAAATTACGTGCAACAGAAATGAGTAGTGGTGCGACTGACATTGCGGGCACAGGGATTCAAAGCACATTGTTCAGGTCGTTGCCAGATATCTGTCCTTACTAGTGCCCTATCACAGTGAAATGCATGCCTGCAAATACCACTGCAAATGGCAAAATCCCTTAATTACATTTAACAGTACGAGGAATATCCTCCTGCTGTCTTCAACTTGCCTGGAACAAACACCTGACCATAGCTCACTGACCACAGAGCTCCAGGTGCCTTCTGAACACAGACCCCTGACCCTGCTCAGCCCTCTCAAACTACGCTCACAAGCTGCTACATTAAACGACATCTCCTCTCCCCCAGTAACTGTGGGAGTCAACTTCATTAGCACTGAAGTTCTCATTTTGTACAAATCTTCACTTGGTGCGTTCAGGCACATTTTGGCTACTGCAGGCATCACGATGCCCGTGCACTTCAGAGAACGTTTCTATCCATCACCTTCCCACCGAGGCAGAAAGCCCCCAGTCTTTACCATCTCTTCCCTAGGAGGAGAGTTTCTTTAGTCCCTCATAACCACTGTCGCCTATCCCTGAAACTCTTCTAGCTCTGCTATGGCCATTAGGATGAGCAAGAGCAGAAGTATACAAGACGAGAAGGAAGACAGACGATTCACAGGGTGGCATTGTTGTATTTTCTGTATTATTCCCCATCCTGGTTTTTTTATGCATCATAACATTACCTGACACTAGCTTTGCACCAGATAAAGATCTTCAGTTAGGGGTACACAGTGACATCCAAATGTCACCCTGCCATGACGCTATCAATTGAGCCTTTATAAGGAGTCTGGAAGGTTTACCTTTTCTAGTGTGCTTGATTTCGCATTTTTTGACAATTAATTTAATGGGACATCATGATGACTACTCAATTTAGTTGCAGAAGTTCCTCACAGTCTTTTCTAGATATAAGTAACTGAGTCATCTACAAATTTAGCCACCTCCATATTCGTTCCAGCCCCTGTCCTCGTCATTACTGTATTGATCAGCTTTATATTTAGTAGGAAATCATGAAGCCCTTGTAGTTTACCTCTGAATGCTGCACAAACTTGACCATATATTTGTTTTCTAATTTGTTTTCTGTCTCTTGGGTAGTTTTTGACTCATGGCATTAGTTGTCTTTTACCCGCATAAAGTGCTCGCTGCATAACTCATGTAAAGATTTAATACACAAATGCACCTCATTCATGACCTCACTGAAATGTCAGCAGACAGACAGGGGCCGTCTCCTTCTCCACACAGATCCCATTACTTACCATTGCGCAGAAGTGGTATCACCTTCATCCTGAAGGACCACAGAGGGCACGCATAAAGCGCTCTTTCTACAGGGCAGCCACCTCTTGGATGGCAGTCAGCCGGACCGACCGTGGAGGCATTACACAAAGAGGTCCCAGAGGTGATGAACA